TTTTTCTATGAGGGAGGGGGATATTTTTTTGCTTTAAAATAATTTTATTTGTGGAAACTCTTATCAGATAAACTATAAAACTGAAGGCCATAACATGTTTATAATTTTAATAATAAATGGCCACACAGACATTCATTTAAGAGGAATGAAAAAGTATTGCCCAGAGCAATCCAAAAGTCATTGCTGTCTTTCCCAGCACATTTTTTTTTTTTTCATCACGAACAGCAGAAGTTTATGAGTAAAAGAAAATACACTTTGAGACATGGAGTGGGCTGACCCAAGGGAGGGAAGCAGCCTTTCCCAGCACATTTTTGTCCTCCCTTCCTTGTACCTTTCTCCTCCCTTCCCCACCTGGACAAACAAATTCAAAATGATAGCAAAGATTAAATTACAAGATGATGAGATTACCCCGGTAAAAAGGGATAAAGGGTTACAGAGGGAAAGAACTGAGGGTGGGGAAGGTGGGGATGAGATGAGGGTGAAAGGTAGAGGTCTTCAATTTTTTGATGAGAAAATAAAAGTAATTGGGCCACTGATGAATGTAGTAGAACTTTCGGAGAAGGGACATTTAAATGTTATTAAGTTTTTGCTGTAATGTATAATGTGAACCCCTCTTCTTCATCCCTGAGTAACTTTAAATACATTTCTACACCTTCTTCAATGATTGAATGTGGAAGGTGTCATATTGGGCTGTGCCATTATGTTGAGACTAACCTGGGGGTGAAGAGTGGGGGGTGGGTTGGCCAAAGAAGACTGTTTTGACTGATAGATCACGTCAATGGTCAGTTAAGGGTCATGAGGTGTGAACCTTCATAGAGACCTAAAGACTCAAAACAGTGAGCAAGAGGACTTGACAATGTAAACTCTATCATGTCATTCACACGCGTCTCCAGTGTTCAGGGACTAAAATCTCAAATCCTTTCATGGCTCTTACTCCTGGGTGCCCTGTCCCTGGCTGCCTCTCCAGGCTTACCTCACACTTCTCCCAGCATCCTTCTCTCCTGGAAGGTGCCAAGTCCCTCATCCTTCCTCCGCCCTTTGCTCTCGCTCGTCCCTGTCTGGTTCTTCTAACCAAACTATTAATATAAACTTCCTGAGAGCTACTTCAGCTCGGTAGTCCAGACAGTCCCTGGAACAGCCCCTCACACATACGAAGCATCTATAAATAGAAGTGGTTGTGGGAAATGAGAACAGGAAGTGATTCATTTGTCACAGACTCAGCGGTAACAGAAAACTACTAGAAGATTGGTTAAATAAGTTACGGTCAAAGCAGATGGTGGAATACCACATAGGTATTAAAATGTTATAGAACAATATTTAATTCGATAATATTTAATGGCAATACTTATATTAAGTTAAAAGGTTAGGTTAGGGCTGGCCGAGTGGCTCAGTTGGTTAAGAGCTTGCTCAAGAGTTTGAGCTCTGAGGGCCGGCCGAGTGGCGCGATGGTTAAGAACTGGCTTGGGATGCCAGAGGGCCCCAGTTCGGATCCCACATATGAGGGCCAGTGACACTGCCCTCCGCAGCTGAGATGCTGAACAACAGCTCAACCTGGAGCTGGGCTGCCATGAGTCGCCGGCGACGGCGTGGGCTGCAGTCCCTGTGGCAGTGGATTGCCATGGGCTACCGTGTGTGGCCAGCAGCTACCGTGTGTGGCCAGCAGCCAGCGTGAGCGGCCAGCAGCCAGCGTGAGCGGCCGTCCAGAAGCCGACAACTAATCTGCCTTGCCTGGGAAGAGCGTAGTGATGGTGCCAACTTGGGCCAGTGAAGCAACGTCCTCCACAACTAGACTGAAGAACAAAACGACAGCAACTTGTCTGTTCCCCTTCCCCCAACTCCCCAGCACTGTTCCCATCCCCCCAATTCCCCAATAAAAAATCTTTAAAAAAAAAAAAAAAGAATTTGAGCTCTGAGCAACAGCGGTTCGAGTCCAGTCCCGAACTGAGCTGCCAACAGGTGGCAGGATGGCTCAGCTAAAAAAAAAAAAAAGTTAGGTTATAAAACATATATAAAAGTACTTAGAGAAAAATATTCCAAGAATATAAATATATATATTCCTTGAATATATGAAGGTATTTTGATGAGAATTTTATATTTAAAAAATAAAGCTTTCCACTTGAGATTAGGAAAGAGATACTGGCTATCAGCATTTCTATTTAACATGTGCTGGAGTGACCAGTCAGCTAGAGCATGGTGCCGATTGCACCAAGGTTGCTGGTTCGATCCCCACATGGGCCACTGTGAGCTGTGCCCTCCTTAAAAGAGTCAACTATGCCATTGTAGCATGAAAGCAATGTGTAATAACCAATGACCATGGCTGTCCCCCAATAAAATAAATAAATAAATAAAATAAAATAACATGTGCTGGTGGTCCTACCTAGCACAATAAATTTTTAGAAAAAGGTATAAAGATTAGAAGGTTAAAAAATAAAATTTGCATATATCATAACTGTATAATATCCAAATAACTCAACAGATAAACAGTTAGAATAACTGAATTAAGAAATTCATTGACTACAATATAAAAATCAAATGTATATGTCAAAGTAAGAAACGTCTAAACCTATAGAGAATTTTTATAAGACTTTGAGTCAAACTTACAATATATGCCAGGGAGCAAGATTTCAAATGCTCTGCAGAATAACAGTTTTGCAGTTTCTTTTATGTATTTCGATTAAAGAAGCTTGTGTTTGACACCTTTAGATACCTCGTGTAAGTGGAATTGTCCTTCGGTGACTGGCTTAGGTAAATCAGTTTTAGAAAAAAGAAGTTCTAAGTTACTACAAGTGAGGTCTGGGCAAGTCCCAGGTCTGGGACTGTCAGGCCCATCCTCGTCTCACTGAATCCCAATCTTCCTTTAAAGAGAGGGAGCGTCTGGAATGAAGAGAGAAGCGTGGGCAGGCCAACAGCCTGGACGCAGCAGGTCTGCTGCTGAGAGAGAGACAACGGAGATGTAGGAAAGAGCACTGCCTTGGAGGGTTGTCAATACCATGCCAAGGAGTTTAGATTTCTAGTCTGTGCAGAGCCATTGGAACCCCACCCCACCCACCCTGACCGCCACAGACACATCAGAAGTCACAGACTCGCATTTAGAAGGTTCCCAACAGAAGCAGTGCAGACTCTAGAGGACTGATGTTGGTCAAGTCAGCAAGCTTCGGGGTGGGGTGTCCTCAAAAACACCAGCCTAGACACACCCATGAAGAGGATGGCAGGTGATACCGTATTTCTCCATGTATAAGATGCACCTAACTTTGGGGCCTGAAATTTGAAAAAATATATATTCCATAAAGTTATTGAACTCAAGTTTTATTCATCATAAAATTCATAAAACTCCTCATCACTGTCAAAAAAGCGGGACATGCAAGTAAAAAATCAACAGCCACTGTATAAGACGCACCCAGTTTTTAGACCCCAAATTTTTCAAAAAAGGGTGCGTCTTATACATGGGGAAATAGGGTAGGTAGAGAATCAGGCAAATAAACAGAAGTGAGAGAAAGGTTCTAGAAAGTCAAAAGAAGAGTTAAGAAAATTAGGAGGTCTTAGCTCTTTTTGAGAAGATAATTTTCAGCTTGGTGATGGCAAGATCCAGCCGGCAGTAGACGGAAGAGTTAAAGGGAAGTAAAGAGTGGAGATAGTGAATGTGGACAATTCTTTAGAAATCTCTGACCATTGGGAGAAAGCAGAGGACTTTGAAATGGAAAAATCGAAGAATTTTTACAGCCTTAAGAGGAAAGATATAATAGAAAAGATGAAAAATACAGATGTATATAGGAGGAGGTGAGGATGGGGGGGTTGAAATTAATTGACAATAGGAGTCTAATCATGAAGGAATTTTTTTTTCTTTTTCCTTTTTTCTTTTTCTTCTTTTGGAGGGGGAGGTGTATTGAACAGGAGACTATACAGCTCTTTGAGACTAGTGAGAAGGTGGGAGCAGATATGAGTATAGATAATTTATAACAAGGGTACAGGTTGTTGGTGAGAAGTAGTTCAGGCAACGTTGAGGAGGGACTTGGAGGGCGTGTGCACCACAGAACGTGGTGGTGAGGGAATCGGGGTGGAGAAGGAAACTGTACACCTAGCTCCAAAACCTCCAGCAATGGGAGGGAGTGAGGGTCGTGGATGGCAGGTTGAAGAAGTGGTATGTGGACTATTTTGAGCTAAAAGCAACTGAACCACTTTGGGCTGAAGAGAAATTTCTGCTACCCCCTCCCCCGCATCTTCCCCATTTAACTACCTAGAAGAATTTGAATTAGGGGCCTTGCGCATAATAAGATGATCAGAGATCACCTCTTTTGACCTATCTGTTGGGCAGGGCAAACTGCTAATTATTGAGCAGGAGCTCTTACCTCTTACAATGACCTTCCTCCTTCTGAGGCCCCAAGGTGATCCTTCTCTCAAAATGGCATATGCACCTCACGCCCATTTCTTCTGTATTTGAACCTCTTGTGTATGTGGGCTCTCTGAGTCTGTCATGTACGTGGGGTTCCCATGAAGACCTATGTATGAAATTTGGTTATTTTCCTCTTGTTAAGCCATCTCATGCAAATTTAATTATTAGATCCTTGAGGATAGAGGAAAGTTGCTTCCTCCCTCACATAACATTGTATTAGTTTAAGGTATACAACATAATGATTTGATATTTGTATATATTGTGACATGATCACCACAATAAGCCTAGTTACTATCCATCACCACACACAGTTACAATTTTTTTCTTGTGCTAAAAACTTTTAAGATCTACCTCTCTTAGCAACTTTCAAATATGCAGTACAGTGTTGTTACCTGTAGCTACAGCTACCATGCTGTACATCACATCCCAAGACTTACTTATTTGATAACTGAAACTTGTACCTTTTGAGCCCCTTTACCCATTTCCTCCACCCTGAGCCCCCCACCTCTGGCAACCACCAATCTTTTCTCTGTATCTATAACTTGGAGGTTTTTGGTTAGCTTTTGTTTTTTTCAGATTCCACGTATAAGTGAGATTATACAGTATTTGTCTTTGTTTCACTTAACCTTTAACTTTTTAAAGAAATAGTACAATAGACACATACACACACAAACTTTTTTTAAGTTTGAAAAATGTCATAATTAGAAGCTGAAAAGAAAATCTAACTTCCTAGCTTTGGCCATGTGTAAGCTAAATTAATGGGAACTAGGTATTTTCTTTAAACTTGAATTTCCTCTTTTATAAAATAGAGACAATAGTACTAATTTCATTTAATATGGGGATTCAGTGAAAATATTTCAAATGCTCAGTGAAGTACTTGGTACATTTTATTACTATTATTATCATAATTATGAAGATATAAACCTCCTTATACTTAAAAATGTGTGTACTTACATGACTTTTATGACTTTCTATGTAATACATTTCTGGAGAGGTAATTTCTGAGTGAATAAATATGAATCCTTTTTAAATTAAAAAAATTTTTACCTAATATTGTTCCACACAACCAGTTGCACCTAGATCCACCCTAACGTCTGGGAAGCCGACTGTAGAAGTACAAGTGGAGGCCAGCATATCATATGTGTAAATACTTAAGACAAATCAAGCTACAGACTGTTCGATAAAAATACGTTCTATCCTCCTACCACGACAAATTTACCTTCGTCATTACCGGGAAGGCTGGTTTCCAGTTTAGTATTCTTAGACACCCTGAGGTTCCAGGCTGGGACGTTCTGTGAGGGTCACAGCCCACGAACCATCTCCCTTTCTCTTCCCATCTCTTTCTCTCCTCCGCTCCATAAGGTGAAAAGCCTCTCGTGCTTCCATTTGAACACATCAGCCTCCAGCCTCACACCAAAGCTTGAGCCACAGCCCTGCAGTCAATCAGCCTCCAGGGGGCCGCCCCTCCAGCCAGAGGTGAACACACAGGCAGCACAATCTGCCCTTGGTTAATCGGGCGAAGGAAACAGGCATAAGAAGTTTCTGGGCACTGGACCGTTTGCAGGGTCCTGGATATCGAGTATGATCTTGAAGGGATTGGTGCAGGCTCTGTGGGAGCCTGTTGTCCTAACCTCATAGACGCTTCCCCACAGTGGGAGGCCTGTGGCAGATCAAGGCCAGGATGGAGTCCTCTAAAGTACAGAGAGGTCCCTCTTTTTTTTTTTAATATCATTCATTATCTGAAATTGAAAAATTTTTTTTTTCTTTAAGAAACTTTATTGGGGAACAGTGTGCTTTTCCAGGACCCATCAGCTCCAAGTCAAGTACTTGTCTTCACTCTAGTTGTGGAGGGCGCAGCTTCGCGGCCCATGTGGGAGTCAAACCGGCAACCTTGCTGTTATGAGCCTGCGCTCTAACCACTTGAGCTAACCTGCCGTCCCCAGAGAGGTCCCTCTTGCTCATGTTTAAGGGAGTGCTGGTTTTATTGGTTTATATTCCTCCCATCAAAGATGCCTATTTCATCACAACATAATTAACACTGAATAATATCAAACTTTTAAAATACTGTTCTTCCTAATCTAGAACATGAAAAAAAATCCCAGTGCTCTTTCTACTTGAATTTCTATAATCATTGTTAAACATTTTGGTGTTTGCGGGCCATTTGAATCTCCTCTCTTATGAACTAAAACAATTTTTATTTATTTATTTTTTCCATTGAATTGCAATCGTTTTTGTGTATATTAGGGGAAAGCAACAGTTTGCCACATGCGTTGCAAACATTGCCCCCACTCAATTTCCCTTTGGTCATGTTTATAATAGGGTTGGTCATGTAGATGCTTTTATTTTTACATTTTATGTGGTCAAGATTGATTGTCTTTTCCTTTACGGCTTCTGAGGCTTGTGTCATGGTGAGATAGATGGTCTCTCCTCCAAGATTATAAAATTACAGACCCATGCTTTGTTTTTCTTCTAGCACATTACAGTTTCATTGTTTTTACATTAAAATATTTGATCCATCTGGAATTTATATTACTGTGAGATTTGATTTAGACCTCATGCTTTCCTTTTATTCCAAATGGCAAACTCATCGTCTCAACTGCATTTATTAAATAATCCACCCTTTGGTAGGGGATAGTCTGACTGGCATGTGGTGTGATCACATTTTTTTCTCTTTAACAACACTCTAAATTCCTCAAGAACAAAGCTGCCTGTCTTCTTTTGGGGCCCTCATGTCCATGGGCAGATCCTGGTGCTCAACACATACTCGGGGGAAAATTGGAGAGCTTGCTGCCATTTAGAAAGAAAGTGGTTATTGCAAAGATTCAATGAAATAATACTTGTAAAGATAATAGAATAGCACTGGCCGGTATTAAGGTACCATACTATATTTTTGTTTAAGTTTTTTAAAAAAGCATGTCTGCTGTATTTAGACAATGGTATTAAGAATATATTAAAGAGAAGACTTGCCTTTTTGGTCAAGAGACTTTTCATTGTGAGCTTCAATGCATGTGCCACTTCTCCCCCCTCGTTCCATCCCCCCAAAATCACACAGTGGCTACCAAGTCAGGCAGCTGAATGCCGCAGCTGACTTGGTGTTCCCAGGTGCCCTCAGGTGTCTTTTTGAGTTTTTAATCCACATGGCTTATCATCAAGATCAAGATATTATGGGGGAAGAAGGAGTATAACGCAATACTTAAAGGTTTTGGGTTTTTTTCGCTTTTGTTTTAACTATAACAATGAAGGAAACATGTTTTTCACTGCCTAAGTTGGTTTTATGTTTACAGATGTGCAGTCCTAGCTGAGTTACTCTCTCCAGGTCTGTTGCC